TCCCCTGATGCTTCTTTCCGGTTCCGGGGACAGAGGCAGTGAATGAAGGTGAACCCCACTTTCTTCCTCGCCCAAGAGGATGTTGCTCTGCTTGGGAGAGCTGGTCAGCAATGCCTGCTGCAGAGGGGGCTTAATAAAGTCTGAAGTGGAGCTGTCGCCGGAAAGCGTGCTGGGCCTGAGAAGTTGTTTCTCAGGGGAGCTGATGGCCGCGGGTGCCTGTCCGGCAGCGGGACAGTCCTTTCTGTCCCCCTCCGCCACGGGGACGGTCAGTACCGGACGGCTCCTGGGCCCTCGGGCAATACTGCCTTTGCTTTTCCCATTTCAGAAGGAGTGTGAACGAAGGAAGCCGGTCGTCAAGTCGACGTTCCAGCTGAAGTGAAAACCATCTATTTGTTGAGGAGGCGCTCAGCCCAAACGTGGGCTTTTTAAGTTGCGAACAACTATATGTTGGCAACTGTATGTAAAAATAGTATCAAGCACTGATTTTGTCACTCTGCCGTATGACCTCTCTGGCTCTGCTCTATGGGACAGCACACCAGACGGGGGTAAATGCAGATGCCCCATGATGGCCTGGCAGGTGACAAAAGTGAGCAAAGAAGGAAAGGTGTAGACACATCGGGCGCGGCAGGGGCGGGGGCAAAATGGAGCATTCGTGCCCCATCTCTGACTTTGGCACTCAGCTCCAGACTATCGTTGCCATGTTGGAGAGCGGGGTTGGTGTGAGCGTAGCTCCCATTTACTCAGGAGAAGCTGCAAGTTGGGATATTCATGTGAAATTTTCAAATTAAAAAAAAAAACAACCCTCTGCTGGTTGGATGAAACCCATAAAATGCTAATTTGCTAACCCCTGTAGGAGCTTAAAACTGTGTGTGTGGAGGCCCACTTGTCTTTCTTGTTCATGGATGTTCCCCCAGAGTCTAGTCCAGTGCCTGCACATTGAAAAGCACTCGGCAGAGATTTACTGCATGCCTCTCAATGGGGTGGGTGGGGTGGGGGGATAAAAATTGGGTTTTTCAATGACAGTTTGATAAACTCTCCGGAGAAATGAGAATTTGACTAGTGAGGCTCTTTTTGCTGCTTCTGACTGGCCTTGGTGAATGTCTGTATCTCTCCTCTAAACTTCAGGTATAGAAGCCAGTTTCCTGGTCAGGAAGATGGGGTAATTAATTCATTATTGAACAGGCAACACCGAACTTAAAAACAAAATCTTAAAAAAAAAAAGCCAACTTTCCTTATTTAAAAACTTCTTGCAGAGAGAAATCAAGTGCTTTCAGTGTGATATGCAGATGAAGAATGAATACGGGGAATCTGGAAGTTTAATATTTAATAACATTTATATATGACATTTGGGAAAAGCGGTAAATAAGGAACACTGTGATAAATAAGACTCTGGCATCTCCATCTCTGATCAATAATGAATGTACGTAGGCTGAGGGACAATTTATTACACAGAGACACACAGCGCTAGACGTCACATATGAAGGTATGCTGGAAGGCTGTTTTGTTTTGTCTAAGAGCATTTGGATTGATCTTCTCATCTGCTTCTCTTTTGTATGGAGCTCTGTGTTATAACTGAAACATGAACAGATGCAAGAGCTGCCTACTTTTTACCAAGAATCGCGTTCCCCAAGCCCTACTGTTCCACAGTAGCTACACCAGTTGGTCGGAGAGCATGCGGGTCAAAGGTTCTTAGCCGATTTGACTTCGTTGTCATTGTTCCACTGTTAGGTCCTTCCAGTTCACTGTTGGGGAAACATTAACACGTGAGAAAGGGCACCAAGACAAATGAAGTCCAAGTGCTTCTTAGATGGGCCGTGCAGACAGAGCAGCCAGAAGGAAATTCGGCAGAGCATGGTACTCTGACTCTTTTATTTCTTGGTCATGCATCTCAGACGCAGGCCGGGTAGGTGGCATTTTTCTGCCTGATAACAACTCCCTTAAATTCCCAGACCAAATAGGCAACAATGAGAGCTATCATTAATTTACTGCTAGCCCTTTGCTAACTATTTTACATCCAGTCTGTCTGGCCAACAGCCCTTTCCTAGATCAGGAAGCTGTCCAGAGTGTGGAGCGTTCATGTAAGGGCTTTACAATGTAATAGTGGAATCAGCGGCAACCTTTCTCTGGGCTCTCTGCACCTCGCACCTGTATATATTGGCTTGTAATGTTTCCTTTACCTGGTTTCATACCCCAGTAGTACATGAACTCCTGAAGACCTTCCAATCTCTCCATCACACTTAGAATAATGCTAGAGACATATACATACATACATATATATGGGATGCTTGGCAGATGTTGGAGATTCTTTGTAATGAATCTTGTGGTTATTGAACTTCTCAGGTTGGAAAGAATCCAGTCTTACCAGACCAGATTATCTCACAATTACTACCAGTTCCTCAGTCAACAGCCTTCCTTTGCTCAATTTCATGCTGGGTCCATGGCAGGTACAAAAGATGAAGACCAGCCTTCTACTCTTGAGCGGTGACCCACATTTAAACCTAGACAATGAAGTCCCCTGCCCTGGGCCCTGTGGGTTCGAGGGCTGCCTCTGACCCTCCTCTGGCCATGTCTCCCACTCCATTGCATTAATAGTGTATCCCTTCTAGACTGAGTTCCCGGTGTTCAGGATCCTGGAATCCTTTACCCAAATGTCCCCGAGCCCACTCCCAGGGCCTGTGCAGGTAGGTGTCTCCCAGAGCCTGACACCAAGGGACAGAACAGGGCTCCAGGCACATCTCCCAAAGTCCACAGGGTGGCCAAGGGGTGGATGAGGCCCCCTTGGTGTAGGGCAGAGTGGGATGGAAGAGAGGGTGCTGAACCTCTTTGGGCGGCCACATTCCAACGCCGAACTCCAAGGAGCCCCAGGATTCTAAATTCAAGCCCGGACTTCCAAGGCGTTTTGAAGCCATATTTGTTCAGGTAGAAGGATAGAACTGTCTTATTTAAGAACTTATCAGATTGACTTAAAACCCCCACACTGTCGATCTGTGGAACTGGAGCCTTGCTAGAGCTTGACTCTTCTGTGGTCTGGGCCGCCTTCTAAACCCTCCAGTTGCTCAGCTTCCGCCCTCCCCAACCCCCTCCAGGAGGTCAGCCTCCTAAGAGCACGCTTGGACCCCCAGGGCTTAGAGCAGGGGTTTCTCATCCTGCCTTTGGGAAAGAGAATGGGGCTGTGTCTCTGTAAACACTCTCTGAAAATTGCAAGGGCTCATTTACATATGAGCTCTCTGCATTTGGCTGCTGAGAAAGCCTTCACATTTCTCCATTAACAAATACCTCCTTGCCTCTTGCCTCATTTCCTTACTTAAAACACTCTGGAGTGTTTTCACTGAAGTCGACTGGCTCTGCACACGCAAATGCACAAATCACCTGACAGCAATTTCAAAATTGCAGGTCTTGCTGTTGATGGAAAAATGGGAGCGTGGTTATTCCTGTGTGTAATTTTCACCAAGAAATGGGGACTGGGTTTAATGTCGACACCTTGAGATCTAATGCGGCCCTGTTACTGGAAAAACACACCTTTAGCCAAGTCCTGGCTTACAACAGGGTCTGTATTGGTTCTGTCCCCAATCCCCCAGCCCCGTTCCTGAGAAGAAATGGGGTTTTAGCACTGGTTCAGCTCAGACCAGGACTGGACCCTGCTTGCTTTCTCCATTTTGGGGGCACAGACCGCTCAACTCTGGGTCTTCCTCGAGAGCGGGAGGAACCCATCTCCTACCGATGGGGAAGGAACCCACCACGATGCAGAACACGAGAAGGGGAACGGGGTGGCAATGCCCCTTCGCTCTGGCCTCCAGCCCAGCAGGGCAAAGTGGGTTTGGAGCATCAGGTCGCAGAGCGTTGCCACCACCCCCCACTCTGTCCCCACCACCCTGAAATTCTCCATGGTGTGTGTTTCAAATTAAAGTAAATCCAATTTGATTTTATTTTGAAAACGCAGAGAGGATGTCAGAACCCCCCTTTGAGGCGGATGATTGATGATACTCCATGGGGCTCACAGAAACCAAGGTGGTTCATCTTGGAAAACCAGGCCCTGTTGGAACAGTAACTCTGGGCCACAGAAGTTTCCTCTGGTAATTAGCAATTTGTCCCCAGTCCTGTTCAATGGTGCTAATGATTTAAGCTTATGCTTTTAACTTTTTCCACCACACTGCCGCCTGGTAGTCTTCTTCCTTCTCTTGAGAATGATGGTTTGGATGCACATGAGCATAAGAAACAGACAAGTGTTAATTGTTCCAAATGACACCATCACTCCTCCCAGCTCCAACCATAAATGAGATTGGTAAACAGCTTCAGACTTTTTAATAAGACTTTTTACATAAGCTTTTTCCCAAGGCCAGTTCTGTCCTTGGCTGTGCCTTACAGGGCGCCAGGGGTTCTCTTGATGTTTGTGTCTTGGAGGACGCAGTGTTGGGGCCAGGATGCGTCTGTAATTACATTTGTGTATTCCCGTTAGTGCAGACGGCGAGGCAACGTCGGCACAGAAGACATTGGGCATCCGGCCTGCAGGGCGAGGCTGGACGGCCTTGGGCTGGGGCTGGGCAGGCCTCTTACTGGTAGGGAGGACCAGCCCCAAGCGCTGGGCACCAGCCTGTGCATCCACCAGAATGTCCTTGTGCCGGGCTCGGGTACAGGAGGACAATCCAGAACTGCCCTCGAAGGGCTCCCGACTGGGGGAGCACTGAAAGTGTGAGAGGGTGGGCCCAGGGGAGTGCCGACCTTTCCTCCCCCAGGGCTCCCCACCTCTCTGTCCCCTCGGCCCCAGGGCACTTTTGGGGGGCTTGGGGAAAGCAGGGGTAAAGATTGCCTGCAGAGGCTTCCTAAGACCCGCAGCGTGGGGGAGCATGTGGACACCAGATCTGGAGGTGTCGCTGCACCCCATCACTCTTGCCGCGTCCACGGTCTCCCAGCCACAGCCAGCTCCACGAGGCTGCCCCCTGAGTGGGGAGGCCGGGCGTGCTTTTCCACACGCAGCCCTGACGCTGCTTTGTCCTTTGCAGACGGACCGTGCCCTATGGACTGTCCAACTACAGAGGAAGCTTCCGGGACAGGAGGTCCACAGGGCCCTTCCCGCAGAGTCCACAGCCCTCCAAGTGGACACTGCGCTGCGCTTGTGTGCAGAGCCAGGACAGCGCCTGTTTGCACTTCTGTGCCCGCACTCTGGCTGTCAGCAGGTAGGACGCCCCTGGGGAAATGAGGCCAGAAGAGTCTGTTGCGTGGGCGTGGGGTGTGATGCAGGGTATGGGGCGGGGCGGGGCGTGGGGCGGCGCGGGGCGGGGCGTGGCGTCGGGGGAGGCGCGGGGCGGGGCGCGGGGCGGGGCGGGGTGTGGTGCCGGGCCGGGGACGCGTGGCGGGGCGTGACGTGGCGGGGCGCCGCGCAAGGCGCGGCGGGGCGCAGGAAGGGCTTGGCTCTGCGTAGCACATGTGCCGCCTCGGCTCCAGGAGGGTGGGTCCAGCCCCCTTGCTGCCTTTCAGAACGGAACCCGCAACGTGGCTGCGGCCGTGTCTGGTCTCCAGACACAGTTTTGGATTGCCCAGCACTTTGCCAAAATCTGCATAAGTTGCCAACATTTAAAAATTGAAGAATTACCCACCCCTGCCAAATGTGTATTTTTAGCTTCTTCAAAAACAGCAAATGGGACCATCTGGTCCCACGGGGCCTTCACATCCCCTCCTGGCCGGCAGAGGCTGGAACCGCGTGGGGGCCCCTCACATCAGGGGAGCAATGCTGCATGCATTCACCTGCATTACCCATCACCTTACTTTGGGGACCCCAGGGGCCCTTGAGTTTGAGACCCTGTAGCCTACTCTGGCCGCTAAAAAGACGTCTGTGAGTCTGTGTGGACCTGAATAAATGAGCAGACCCCAGGTTTGACCCCGGGTGGCCATTGACATTGGCATTCGCTCAATGGGCAGGTGCCCTACTGGTCAGGGACCCGGGATTCTCTGTTGAAAACCCCAGTGCTAACCTCATTTTCTTCTTGGTTTTGTAACATCCGATGAATAACTGAGGAGTGAGCCGACATTGTGCTTTGGTAGAAATCCACCCACCGTGTGCTCAACCTTAGGAAACCATGCCTAAGATGCGGTCCCTGGGGAATGCACTAATGTGCCCACTGGTGAGGAAGAGAAAGTCCTAATTTGACACTGAAAAACCAGCCACAGGGAAATGCAGGTTGAGTCATTAAATAAGCTCTCTCCCCACAGGAATTCAAGGACAGCAAAAAATCCCGACGAAGAGGAAGAGCCAGCCAGCGGTGCCAATGGAGGCCTGCGTCCAAGGAGGTGAAACTGCTTCCTCAGGCGTCACACCCTTGGGGACATGGAGGATGTGAGGGTGGCTTGTGAGGACAGCCAGTGGGAGCCCCAGCAGGCACGGAGTGCTGCATCCGCAGGGGACCGGGCCTTTGGTAGATTGTCTCTGGGGACAGAGCAGGCCGAAGCTGTGGACTGTCACTGCTATTGCCCTGCCCCTGGCCATCCACTCTCTGTCATAGGAGTTGACCCCTTGCATCCCCTGTAGCTTTAGAGCAGTGACATCTGGCTCTGGATTTCACTGGGCCCAGACACAGCTAGCTGGCCACTGCTGCTCAGAGACAACCCTTCCCCCACCCCAACACCCCCGGCTCATCTACCTGGGCCCAGGTGTCACTTTTTATGGAAGCAACATGTGGTCGTTACCAAAAAAAAAAAAAAAAAAATCATTTTTTCAGTAGCTGATTCTGGACAGAGGTGAATTATAGCAGCTTGGCTTGGCAGCATACCCCCCATGTCCCCCCATTGACTTTCTTTTTTTTTTTTTTTAACCTGCTTGTCTTTTTTGTATGAGAGATTCTGAGGGTTTCCTGCAGCCAAACTGGGTTTATTTGTCATTCTATCAGTCAGAAATTGTTATTAATGGCTCGCCTACACATCGGCAATGGGATGGTAATTTATGTCCATAATAATAGCCTGCGGGTGGCTTGGGTTCCTACAGGCACTGATCAAGGGAAGATTAAACCATGCTCAGTATACAGGAGGCTTTCCAAATTGGTGGCAGTGGCTTCTAGGCATCCAGAGAGGTCCGTCAGCATCCCTAATACAAATGGAGAGGAGGGGCCGGCTGAGGCCCCAGGAGAGTGCAAGCCAGGCCCCAGCTGGTCCCTGCCTTGCCTCTTTGGTCTTTTCTCCTTTTTCTCTCTTTTGCCCCAAACCCACACTCCTCTCAGCGAGGGCGGGATGTGATTAAAACCATCCATCCTTTGCATCATTTATTCATCCACTCATGCATTCATTCAGCAAAGATACATCGTGCACCTGTGACGTGCTGGGCACTGTTCTAGAAGCGGGGGTCTGCAGGGAGCGAGGCAAAGGGTCTGTCTCTGTGGAACGTAAATAGTGGGGAAGCGGGCAGCAAACAGACACAGTCTCCCCGCTCATCCGCGGGGCTACGTTCCCGGGCCCTCACTGGACGCCTGGAACCACGGACACCACTGAGCCTTGTGTGTACTATGTTTTTTCCTCCAGGTACACATCTCTGGGAAAGTTTGATTTATAAATTAGGCACAGAAGAGAGTGACAACAATAACCCATAATAGTCTAGAGGAAGCAGAACAATGTCCTGTAGTAAAAGTTATGTGAATGTGGTCTCTCTGTCTCTCTCTGAAAACATCTTGGGCTGTACTTGCCCCCTCCTTGTGAGGAGGTGACATAAGATGCTGTGTGAAGAGATGAGTGAGCTGGGTACACAGGCCTGGGATGCAGCGCGAGGCTACTAGGGACCTTCTGACACTGTGTCAGAATCAGGGACATCTGCTTCCAGGCCGTGGCTGACTGCAGGTAACTGAAACCACGGATAAGAGGGGACCACTGTACATGAAATAGGAGTGAGATGTGTGAAGGAGAAGAGGAAGGCAGGGTTGGGATAGGAAGTGCTGGGGGTGGTTGCAGTTTGGGATTGGGCGGAGACAGGGTAGTCTCCCTGAGCAGGTGACATTGGCTTAGGGACCTGCAGGAAGTCAAGGGGTGAGCCAGGGGGATGAGGAACGGGAAGAGCTTTCAGGCAGGGAGAACAGTAAGTGCAAAGTCCTGTGGTAGGAATGTGCTGGGAATGTTCAAGGAGGGCAAGAGAGGCCTGCACAGAAAAAGCGTGAGGTTGGTTTTGCTCTTGCCGCTGTTCCTGTTCTGTTGAAGGCCCAGAAGATGAGGAAGGTAGCTCAGGTGCCCCCCTGGGGCCTGGAAAGGTGGTTCTTCCAGGTCTTTACGGTTCATGTAAAGCTCCTGTAGGAAGCTTTAGTTGGGAAGAAAAGTCTTTTCTTAAAAGCCACGGTCCCTACTTTCTTGCAAGACTCAAGTTAGTAATTTCCAGATTCACATTCTCAGAGTGCAAGCTTGCCACCGTCCTGAGCTTGTGATAATCGAAGATGTGACCAGGCTGTGGGGCAGCTCCCAGCAGCCACGTCCGCTGGTGTGATTTATTCACACCTTCCCGGGCCGGTGCAGGCTCTGAAATTGGCAGGATGCACAGGGCAAGAAGGTTCAGTTCAAAGCAGGGAATGGGGCTAGAGAGGGAGCGGGCAGCAGTCAGCTTTTTCAGCCAGGAAGAACTCTGCTGCATCACATACCTCTTCTCTCCCTCACCCCTTTCTCCAAGATAGGCTGAAGTCAAGGACAGATGAAGTGAGCAGGCCTTAGGCCTCCAGCATCAAATGCTTGCCCATCAGCCCCCCCCTCCCGCCGCATTCTGCCTGAGGCTCTGTGGTGTCAGGAGCCCCTGCCAAAGCAGGCCTGTGGCACCCCGTTTCAGGGACCCTCAGTCCCTGCTCCTTCCTCCTTCACATTCCCACCTCTCGGAGGACAAGGAATGAGTTTGCCTCGGGGGAGAAAAACCCACCCAGAGGGTCCTCACTTAACAATACACCCCTACCCCAAGAATGCCCCCGTTCAAAGGACCTACTTTCTCAAATGGGTAAAATGATCCCAGATGTGCCCCAGAGCCTGACGCCCACGGCTCGGGTTTTGTGCAGGAAATCGTTTTTGGAGCGGTAGGGACGTCGGAAAGCCACTTGCTGGCTTTCGCCTTCTCCTGGAGAATACGTGGGCTCCAAGCTGACTCTGCAGATGTGAACACGTGTACCCTTGTACCGGATGTGGCAGGTGGCGGCAGCATACGACGTTCGTGCCCCGACATGGAGCAGGCACGTGGTGGGAGCTCGGAGGGCGCCGGGCGTCGATTTTGGATGCGGGTCGTAGCTGTATGGGAGTTGAGGACTTCGAAGCTTATCTGGATGTAGACAGAAATTTTCAGCTGTGCATGGTACCCACCAAAAGAATGTATCTTAAAAAAGACAGAAAAAGAGAAAAAAGGATGCTGTTTGTGATGTTTGTGACCAGGAAAGGAGTAAATGAGTATCTGGGGGCTTTGAACCCCGGGGCAGGCGGCTGAGAGTCTGTTCTCCATCAGGGCCTGACTTTGTGTCATTTGCGGATAGTCCAGCCAGGGCACGGCGGGCCTTGTCCCCAGAGGGCCACCGCAGAGGTGGCCCAGCTGCAGCTCCGGGCTATTTGGGCGAATATTTGCTTTCATGAATAAATGTGGATCTTTGGGGAATGGCTTCAAAATAAGCCACAAATGCAAAACTCTTTGTAAATTATGTAAATTCCGCTTTATCTATATAATTGGCAATCACTGGGGATTGTAATGCCCAGCAGTTCACGATCTGTTTCAACTGTGCTTTTACGGCCGGCCCAAGATTACCGTGCGTCGCTGACAAAGTGATGTGGCGGCGACGTCGCCCGCTGATGGGGACAGGCCCCCTCCCCTCCCCCCGGCCCCCAGCTGGGCAGAGAGATGAGAACCCGCATTCAGCGCATGCCCAGGTCACTATACAGAGAAATTTAAGGTGGTGGGTGACAGAGCGTTGGCCTTGACCAAATGTTAAGTTCTCCATGAGTATTTCATAAGTTATTATAGGTATAAAAGTGAGTATCTATCATGAGGAAACAGAAGGGACTGGTTTGCTACAACTGTGTATAGTTCAGAGAAGCAATTATTTATTGTGAGACTGTTCTTTACTTCAATTCCTTTGTGTGGATCTGTTAAAAGTAAAGCCACTGTATATATATATATATATATATGTAGATTTTAAATTGTGTTCTGAATCCAAACTCCTATTCCTTAGAGCTTTCATCACATTTTTAAAACGCATATGCACTGTTTGGCTCTGTGGCAAGAAGGTATCTTGGAGAGAAATTCATTCATTGTGCTAACACTCAGAAAATACTAACTGTCAAATGCATAATAAAAAAATCTAGAAGTTTGCTCTGATTTGTGGGTTTTTCTCACTGGTGTTCTATGCATGGTTACACATCAACTTTTCATGGACCTCTGGAGAGCGTGGAGGGAGTTACAGTCCAGGAAGTAGAATCCATCCAAAGTCAATTATGGAGGGAGGCGAGCATGGGGCTGCTTGAATTTTAAGGAAGGAGCGGGATTTGGGGACCATCCGAGGAAGATAAACAACTCAAGGCAGAGTCAGGAAGAGAGAAATTTGGGGAGAGAATTGGCTCCTTGCCCTGGCACTGTCCCATTCACCTTGGTAGTGCCACCGAGCTTGCTCCCGTGGCCTGCAGGCCACGGCAGTGCTGGGACAGGAGCTGGGGACAGGGCAATCATGGCCAGCAACCCGCGGTTGACCTTATCAGCCCTTTAGATGGTCGTTTTATTTTGCTTTGCTGCTTACAGTTCTCGAGAATTAGCAGCCACCAGTGACCACATTTGATTTGATCTCCTCCATCCGTTGCAATAGTTTTAAGCCTTTAGGACAACGAGGGCGTCTCCGGGGTTGGAAGTGTCAGAACAGACTTGGGTTTCTTCATTTTCTTCCCCCTCCCCTCCTCCCTCCCACCTCCTTTTTCTTGCTTTCTTTTGCATCGAGGATTGGAGACTCCCCCGGGGTAGGGAAGTGGACAGAGGCTCAGCTAAAGAGCAAAGGGAAACCCAGGATTCTGCGTGGGTTTGATCACATCCAATCCGAGAAAACCCACGGGCCTCTCATTTTAATGAAACTCATTTTAGAGAATTGTGACTTTGATGAGCTGGTAGCACTGGAACGAATTTTTTCCTGCAGGATGTGAGACCGCGTAGGAGTTGCTGCCAGGGTCCAGGGGAGGCCCTAGCCGGACCCGCAGTGCGCAAGCCCAGGGAGATGCTGCATCCCAGGGCAGGGGAGGAAGAGAGGAGCTCCAGGAGCTGGGAGCGGTGGAGGCCCGGGGAGTGCCTGGCGCTCCCGGGATGGGGGTGGAGGAAGAGAAGGGGGTCCATGGAGTGGTGAGCCCGCCACTGGGGCCCAGGGGGGGAAGCAAATGCCGGGCTCTCGGTTCAAACGTGTAAGAATTTCGGGATGGAGACAGCAGAGCACCCGGCCAGATGTGGGCTTCCCTGCCCCAGGTTGTGGGCCCTGAGGCCCAGCGGGAGGGCCAGCGATCCCACTGAATCACCAAGGGGCCTAGCTTTAAGCCAGGCCTCAGTTTCCTCGTTTATAAAATGGGTGTGATAATACCGGCCTGCCTACCTCATTGCTTTATCTGGAGGTACAACTGAAAGAAGCAATCTATGTAAAAAAATTTTTTTAATCCTAAACTCACACCAGGCATAAGGCACAGTCTCCACATCTTCCAAGTTTGCCCCAAACTAGTCACTAGCTCCTATTTGTACTCAAAGTTCCTCATGGAAGCACATCTTTGAATTTAGACTGTTCCTCAAAGTAATAGAATTTGATTTCTAGAAATTGTCAGGCTAGTTGATTCCCCTCTGCCCCAGAAGATATATATTCTCTAAATCCCCAAATTCTTTTATAGGAATTCTTAAGTATCTCAAAGCTCGAGCAAATCAGTTACCTGTTATTCAGGCCATTATAAGCCCACTTGGGTCCTGCAGTCATTGGATATGTGATTTCTTTTTTCTCTGCTGGCAGGAGTGCTCGGCATTGTTGAGATCTGAGTGGTATTTTGCGTGGGGAAATTTAAGAATTAGTCACCATCAGGGGCCAGGAGGAATGAATGCAGCCAGGCTTCCTCCAGGTGTGCGCCATTAATCCTTCCAGCCTTCCAGAATGATGTACTGAGTACCTGGCAACAGGTGAGGTGATAAATGGAAGGGGCAGAGGGGTCGGGGCCTGCCCTGCAACAGAAGGCACCCGGCTGATGTTTGTAACGCGGCCCGAAGCGGAGGGCTGTCGGTCCAGGCTGGGGGTGCAAGGAGGACTTCCTGGAGGAGGTGAGTGAGAGTGAGCCAAGCCAAGCCGCGGAGGAAGGGCGCCCCAGCTGAGCAGAGGCTTGGAGAAGCCCAGGGGCCGAGGCGGGGGCGCCCAGGGAAGGCCGAGGAGCTGCGGCTGTAGGTGGGTCAGGCCCGGCGGGGGGGAGAACAGACGTGGGCAGGAAGGGAGAGCAATGAGGACTTACGACCAGGGTCACAACACAAGGAGCCAAAGGCAGCTCCGCTTCTCCGCCCATCATCTCTGCCCACCTGAAACGGGCGGCGCCACGCTCCCTGTCTGCAACGGCGGGGTGTCCGGGGGGCAAACACCTGTTTGGGTTTTAGACACACCCCTAGCCCACGAGTCCCAGAGAAGAGGGGAGCTGCCCATCCGCTCGGCGGGAAGGGGACATTGCCCGGGCGCCGCGTGCTGGGTCTGGCCCGCGCACAGTGGGGTTCGTGGGGTACGTGCTGAAGGAGCGAACTCGCAGGTCGGTACGGGGCCCGGAGAATGGCGATCTGCAGACCGGGCCCTGTGCAGCTTTGGCCTGGGGGGCCACCGGCCGCCGAGGGGACAGCATCCAGCCGGGCGCCCGTGGGAGGGAGTGACCGCGACCCGGGAGAGCTCCAGGGGCAGAGACGGGCGGTGGGCTGGACTCCCCGGGCGGCCTGCCCCGGGCCAGCCCCCGAACAGCCGGCTCCCGAGTCGTGAATTTTCCGTATCCCCGTCCATCTGGAAATGCCTTTGTGTTGGTGTGCGTGGGCGCTAGGTTGGCTCGGGGTGGCAGTCTAGGCGGACGGCTGTGTCCCCTCCGCCCCTTGGGGATGTTCATTCCCTCCTGAGGTCGGTACCTCGGCCTGGAAGTTTCTCTGAGACGCCTGGCAATCCTGCCGCAGCCGAGTCCTCTTTGCTCCCTGGTGCCTTCAGGACTTTCTTGTTATCCTTGATGTCTTGCAGTTTCAGTAACAAGTGTCTGGGGGTGGATCTTTGTTTCCTCCGGTTTATAGCAATTAGCACTCCTTGGCGGGACTCCCCCATGTGAGGATCCTCATCCCCCAAACTCTCCTTCTAAAGCTCTCCCCCTAACACCACTACTCCACCCTGCTCTTTTTCTGGAGGGCCTGTTAATTGCACTTCATCTAAAGTACATATTGTCTCCGTTTCTCCCTTCCCTGCTATCATATGTTTGTTCCCTCCCTCCCTCCCTCCTTTTCCTCCTTCCCTCCCTCCCTCCTTCCCTCCCTCCTCCCTGATTTGAGAGAGAGAGCTCAAGCAAGCAGGGAGGGGCAGAGGGAGAGAAAGAGTCCTAAGCAGGCTCCACACCCAATGCAGAGCCCAATGTGGGGCTCGATCCTACAACCCTGAGATCATGACCTGAGCTGAAACCAAGAGTTAGAGGCTTCACTAACTGAGCCACCCAGGCGCCCCATTTTTTTTTCTTTCTTACTGTGAGTCTGAGTTTAGTATTGAAAATCCAGACCTATCATTAGACTATTTTAGGTTATCCAGGGAGCAAGTCTTCCCATGAAGCTGACTACCAGCCAGTCCGCAGATGTTTCTAGGGGACTCTCCTTATGCCAGGTGCTGCGAGGAGCCCACATGCATGCTAAGTTCTCCCATTTGTTCACCCATGTGTCACCTTTGTAAGTCTTCAAGATCATTCCACCACATAGGTACTGTCATTGTTCTCACCTTACAGATCATCCAGAAACCAAGGCCCAGAGAGGTCATGAGCCCGTGGTCCTGTAGCTGGTAACGAGCCCTCAGCTCCGTGCAAAGTGCCCACTGGTCCTAGTAGATGATTAGTTAATGGCAGGACACAGGACGTAAGGCTCCTAATAATTTTATGAAGATTTTTTTTAATTAAAGCATTTAATAAGTGATATTCTTCCATGATTCAAAAATTAAAACTACCTCCAAAATTGCCCCACCCCTGCTCCTGCCCAGCCTGTTGTAGGTAATCACGTTTCCTACTCTCTGGTCTACCTGCCACTATTTCATTGTGAGGATATGGGCAAGTACAAGCACGTGGTCTTGCTCTTCTCTGCTTCCTTCCGCAAAAGTTGGTGTTCAACACTGTGTGATTTTTTTTTTTTTTCTGATTCCACTTTTTACACCAAATGTGTAGATTTTTTTTCCTGACACCAAATACGCGTCATTTTTCTACCCCAGTTCCCCAACTCTGTGACGCCGGCTGGGTGTCCAACAATCCAATTCAGTTCTGAAGCCACCCACCCAGAGTGAGCGTCAGATCCTCCAGGCGCCCCCTCTTCAGACACCAGTGCACATGGGGTCCCCTGGTGACCTACGCTTCCGCCCAGCTGACTACAAATTTGAGGGTTCACACAACCCTTGCCCCCCATCAGGTTTGATAATTCACTACAGTGACTCAGGACTCAGGAAAGCTCTTCTGTTCCTGTTATAGCTTTATTATAAAGGACACAACTCAGCAACAGCCAAACGGACAGGATGTGGAGGGTGGGTTGTAGGGGGAAGGGGGTGGCAGAGCCACACGGAGCTTCCATGACCTTTCTGAGCCCAACGCCTTCCCAACACATCAAAGGATTCACCAACCCAGAAGCTTTTAGGTTTTATTGCGGGTTCCTTATGTAGGCACAATTGATTAAATCACTGGCCACAGGTGATTGAACTCAGTCTCCAGCCCCTCCCCTCTTGGAGGTCATAGGGTGCCCCTGAGAATTCCAACCCTTGCACCCTGGCTTGGGCTTTCTGGCCCTTGGGCCCCCATCCTGAAGAAGTCTGCCCCTCCCTGATGAGCCATCTCATGAACATACAAAAGAGAGTCAATGTCAAAAGTTTTAGGCGTTCTATGCCGGAAACTGGGGACAAAGTTCAAATATTAATTTTCTATTATACCATAAACCCATACTTTTTTTGACCTTGCTTTTTGGCTTAATATATCTAGGAGATGAGTATACCATGGTCTATTCAACGGGTACCTATTGATGGACACTCGGGTCACTTTCAGTATTTTGTCATGACAAGTGTCGCCCCAGTACATAAGGCCACAGCTCCCCTGCACTCACCCCTCCTGGGAGGGAGACTGCTGCGTGAAGGGGTACATGCTTCTGTGGTTTTCGTAGATATTATCATGTTTGAGGAATGTGTCACTGTCATCCCCATCTCCAGATAAGTAGTCTACCTGAGGCTCAGAAAGGAGAAGTCATTTCTCCCAAAGTGACACAGCTAATGGGGCAGGAAGGACACAGCTTCTTCAAGGACAAGGGTGGGGACTAGAGTAGGAAATGCTGTTGGGGAGAAGCAAGGTGAAGGGCGTTTAGGAGTTGGGACGTTAGGGAGACAGCAAGCGGGATGAGGTCCGGAATGGAAGGCAGTGGGAGCTGTTGGGGGTTTCTGACAACTCTCCCCTGCCTCCTCATGTTCCCGGAGGTGATTGACTCCTTTCTGGAATTTTGAGAACATTGGGAAGTACAGGGGAAACCATTAACAACAGAGTATGTCCCCTTGTCCCTACCGTTGGAGCTACTTCTTTCCGCGTGGGCTAATTGGTGCTGGAGGACAGGAGCCATTTGCGGAAGCGCTAGCCCCTCCCCCATCTCATGACAATAGCTCTTGCATCTTTTCACCAAGATGAGAATCATTTCCTCGTTGAGAATGCAAAACACGAGCTCTGTATCCATGCATGCCAGGCATTTTGGGGGTGTCTGTAAAAACTTAACCTCACCCCCAGATTAGACCTGTGGCACAGTTGATGCCACATGACCCCACAGCTCTGCCAGATCTGATTGGACCAGGGCTGGGCACTGAACAGGCCGTCCGCCAGGAGCTCAGAAGTGCAATGGCATGAGGGAGGTGGTCAGATGTCGGGGGTGAAGGACCTCAGAACGAGGCTCCCTCTTCTGCCTTCTACATAGAGCGCTGAAGAAAGAGGGGCTCTAGAGACAGGAACAGGGAAGCTACGCTCCTGGGAGAATGAATCAGCACAGAGCCCGGTTCTTGGTGACGCTTCCTGCGAGGACTGGCTGTACTTCATACATGGATTTCACGCAACCATACATTTTCCTTTCCTTTTAATCCCTCCAGTTCCTGAAGCTCACGAAGTGGGGTAAGAATTCTAATGTGGATACCCTCTTCTAACTTAGCAACCAGAATCCAGTAATCACCAGCTCTTATTGCCTCAAGTCCAAGGGAAAAGGGAGAGCTTTGTGTCTGGTGGCTCCTGCACCAAATCCTGGCTCCGTTGTGATTGCACCGACCTGGGTCACGTCTCCACCCCCCAACCAGTCACTGGGCCAGGATGATACAGCCCAGGATGGGCCTGGGCTCAGAGACTTACAAGGCTCTTGGACCGAAGGAAGTTTGGGTGGTCTTCCCAGAAGTAGGGAAAATGGGTGACGGGCAGTAAAAGCCACAAGGGCATATTCAGGTGCCTAGTTGTCCAAGGCTGTTGATTAAGACATCATGCCTGTCTTGAATTAAGTGAATTAAGTGCTTCTTCCAAGTGAAACCATGCTTTTCATCAGTTTCCAGCCCGCCAATATGAAATGCATCTTGACAGGCTTGTTCAGAGACTTCTTTCCAAGCACACATCTCTCCAGCATTTGTCACTGGCGAAAGGTCCGGGGTGACATCTTTATTTCTCGTCATGCCCTATGGCCCAAGCAACAGCCTAGTGTTGTAAGTGGGGGAAAGAGATCATTCGAAGGGAAAATATGCGCTCTTTTAAGAAGGGTGTCAGAAGAGGCTGCCTCCCGTGTTGCAACACAGTCACAAGTTTGAGGCCAATGAGTGGGAAACTCATTATGGGATGCCCGGGAAAACTTTGCCCACAACCAT